GGAGGGCTTTCTACACTCCCGTAAAGAGTTACGGTCTCGGAAACTCACAGGGGCATCTTTGCCCTGCCCCGTTGGGTCGCCAGGAGTTGGCATCGACTCGATGGCAGTGGGTTTTGAGTGGATTCGGACCCATAGCGGCCCTATAGGACCAAGCCGAGCTGCTCCAGTTCGCAGAAGCAGGCGGCCACACCTCTCTCAGAGAACGCGGCTGGGTTTCAAACACCAACCTTGCGGTTCACCCTAGGGTTCCCCCACCGTGCCACCGGGATCCGCCATTCATGACGGTGGTCCTTATTGCTGTACCTCCGGCTGCCTGTCCTGGGGGGAGCTCAGAGGAGGAGACCTGGGTGCAGCCCATGCTCGGAAGACCTGGACGAGACGGACTGGCACCGTGGCTGCGGCCATGGGCTCAGAGCATAGCAGCTCTTGTGAAGGTGGCGCAGGACTGGGCAGGGGGGCGGCCTCTCTGAGTCAGACACTTCACGGCATCAACACACTTGGGCAGCCAAGTGGGCCGCTATCAACAGGCACAGCAGACACAGATAGCGGGGTCCCAGCAACAGGCTGGGTCTCGGGGGAGGGAGGGATCGGCCCTGTCCTAAGAGAAGGTTGATGGCTGGCAAGCTGGCAAACCTGAGACCTGGGTCACAGCCCTCTTTTTCCCAGCCTCACTGGAAGCTGCCCAGGTTTCGCCCTGGGGGCTGGGGCTAGGGTTCACCCAGGGGCCACGTAAGGCAGCTGCGTTGTGGTGGCGGTGGTCAGCTCCTGGTCTCTGGCTGGTGCCCCTGCACAGCGGAGTGACACACTGCCCCGTCCAGCACCACGCCCACGTGGATTGAACCCTTGGGACCCACAGTGTGTGCACTGGCTGATTTTCACAAGCCCTTCTTGTTAGTCTATCTTAGTCGGGAGAGCCTATCCCCACCCCCTGAAAGCTGTTCAGCATCATAACCACATGCCAGCCTCCCCCCACGTGAAGCATCCCGGCTGGGTAGTGGACCCTATGTGGGCAGGTGGGAAGGTGACCCTTAACTGCTCCCTCTTGGGGCCCAGAATCCAGAGCCAGAGCCGGCCGAGTAAGTTGTGGCTTCAGTTCTGGGCGCAGGGGCCACAGGAGGATGAGAGCCCCCAGGTGGCCTCATGCAAGGAGGAAGCTGGAGCCAGGTGGGGCTTGGTACATTCTAGGAAGATGGCCGGCTGCTAAGGAAGGTGGTGCTGTCTTATGGGAGCAGTCCTGCCT